AAATAAAGAATGAAAATTAAATAAATTAAAAAAAAAAGTAAATAAATAAATAAAACGTTTGCGCAGTAAACAGTGTTACCAAAGACCTCTTTACACAATTATTATGCGTTTATACGCACACGTGTACATATATGAAATTGCAAAGATGAGAAAACGTAATTTTATATCAACAATAAACAATCAAATTGTATTTATAACAAATCGTATTTACGGGACGTCATGTCCACATGCGGTCACAAAAGTAAATATTAGTCGAAAATGGAATTTATTATTGGCTTGGATCACATTATGATTTTTCCCAACTTTTCAATAGGCAGACATAATTCCAAATTGAATTTTTTTTATGCTTTAAATATAATTTTTTTTTTTTTTTTTTTCAAAAAACCAATGACTAAGCCATGAAAGATAAGATCACACGTTATGCATAAACTTTTTTTAACTTTTCCAATAAATAAGCCAACCCTGTACGTTTACACTTACGCTTATTCTTCTCATCTTATTCGTGCCCCAAAACTTTGTCTTTTCTATTTCGTTCGAATAAAAAAAAACAAACAAAAAAATAAAACGGATATATATATATATATATATATATATATATATATATATATATAGATATATTAATAGGGAAAATTGAAGCTTACGTTAATTGTTTGCCTTACCTAAATCCTAACCTAAAAGAAAAAGGAAAAGAAAACAATAGTCTTAGTAAACTTAAAGGAAAAATGTCAATTGGTGGTAACTCTGTAACATGACGTAGGCAATAATCTTCAACGTTGTTGCAATTTTTATTGTGTAATTCGCTTTACTGCTGTGCAAAAAACACATTTCCACCCCACCTTTCTCAATTTCATGAAAAAGATTAAACTTCTCGGCAATGCACACATACATACACTCAATATATATATATATATATATATATATATATGTATGTATGCATTCATGCTTATATATACATTTGCAGTTGACGCAAGAAGAGAACTCCAAAGAGAATGTACATACGTACGTACATACGTACATACGTACGTACATATATATTAAGAATGCTAAAATGCTATTAAAAATGTGTGGTGAATGTGTAAAACTCTCACACCCGTTCGACATAACTTTACTTTAAAGTTTAAACCTTCTTTTTTTTTCCTAATTATGGGACGGACATAATGGAGTAACTATGCACTCATCCGATTTGTATGGTGCCTTTGTAATTTAACTATACTTGAATACATTTCATTTGATTACATTTATATATATATATATAAAAAGCAATTCGTTTCATTGGGGTATCGTTTCTAAAGCGTATCTTTTAATCGATCTTTTTAATCAATAAAACACCCTTTTAAAGCAAAAACAAGCAAGTAATTAATATGTTTTGAACACGCTTCATTCAGTATAAGCGAAAATTACTTTTATTTATTTTTTATTATTAATTTAATCAATTTCTTATTGTGCAACGTAAACGATTCTCCAAGCGGTGTAAATTTAATAAACACACACATGCGTACTAGAAAGATGTGTGAAAATATGTGTCTTCCTAAATTCAAAGCTCTGAACAGGAAGAATATTCACACATATGTATACATATATATATATATATATACATACATACCCAATATGTATATATATATGTACATACATACCCGTATGTATATATATATATATACATACCCAAGCATTCACGCATCATTCATACATCTATGTGGTGTCTACGTTAGTAACAAAATTCCGACATATACTCGCAGTTCGCAGTTGATTTTGCGTTCACACTACAGCTGCATATTAAAGTGAAAGCTAAAAATTGCATAAAAAAATATTCATCCCTCTATATATGCTCAACGTAAACGAAGATTAATTATACTACGCGTCATTCATAAAATTCGTATGCGTATAACAATGAAATAACATAAATGAACGATGAATCAAAACCCATTCGATCTTCAGCGTATTTATGCTTCAGTTTAATGCATTTCCTTTGCGATTGATTACAGACTATGCAAAATGAAAACACGCATGAAAGCATTACAGTCCCAACACGCTTGGTTCCACCGAAGTTACGTTGGCCAGCTAAGAACTACGTCGTACGCACAAAAAAAAAAAAAAAAAAATAGACGTTTTAATGTGTAAAACATGACTGCGTGGAAGCGATGTCGATTCACATACATCGAGAATGGCAGTGGGCATTTGTCAATTGGTATAGAAGTTCGGGGTGATAGTCTGATTTGATCCGGTCGCACGCACATCCGCAGGTACATCCTTGTGCATATTTATCGAATCTCGGCGGGATAACGACGGCGAACCTAACTGCCGGCCGCAGAGTACTCGTAATGGTTGTGGTTATCACAATTGCAGGACGCATTAAATAATTGGATAATTGTGCAGGTAGTCCCCCGTCTTGCCTAGAGTGAAGAGTTTGAAACTTACTCAAACCTTCGTATCGGGTACGCCGTAAGCATATGCAGGATCTGCATCTTGCAAGCCGTGAAGAGCCAGTAAACGCACGTAAATTACTCTATAAACCATTGAATTACCTCTCATTAAACCGTCAAGGCAGCGTGCAGACACTAAGCTGCGCAGGCATCTGAGAGGACAGAGAGGGACCTGCACTGTGTCAATATTTAATCTGAATGCGCGAATGCCTTCCGCTTCGGCTGTGTAAAATTCTACCCAAGACGAAATAACTTAAAATATTGAATGTCCATGGGGATCAGATGGATGGCTCAAAGGGAATTGTTTGAAATATCCATGAATCAGAAAGCGGGCAGCATATCATTTGCGGAACTAAACGTTGACTTAACAGTCGCTAACCGCTTTCATAAGTCAGAATATAAGCAGAAAGTTGATATTTGAGTGCCATAGACTGACGGGTAATCTAATCGAATGGTTCGAAAATCTATTCCATTTTTCAATCACTCTCGCGAAGTTATAAGCTGTAATACTTTTTGGTTTCAAATTTGCTGCAACTTCACTTTTCGACTTTCCAAAATGATATTTTGCACACCTGATGATATTTTTTAGAACAAGGTGTGGCCGTATTCGATCGACCAGGGCAGATCAGAAAAATTGTTAGAGGAGATATCTTAGAGCTTTTTAAGTCAATCCTGACTTTGAACGGTATTCTTTCCAGGTTAAAAAAAGCAAAAAAGGAAAGCTTTATCAAAACTCGAAATTCAGATTTTTCCAGGGTCTTGAAAATTACACAAATAGTGTCATTAGAACCCGTTATAGAATAGTTAGAATATCATAAAATTTTCACATTTATCGTTTGACGACTGGTACTACTCAGAAACCATATGGGTTTGTCAACAGTATTGTCATAGAGCGGAGACTTATTGAGTGATGTGTTATATCAACAATTTTCGATTTAGAACAGAAATTGAAAAATAATTCGAATCGCTTAATTCGACAGGCGAACAATCGAATAAATTGTTTATAGTTTTTATATATTAATATTATAGGTCTTCTTCTTATTTTTTTTACACTATCGAATTTATGTAATGCCCGTGTAACACATGAAAACGTATATACAAATGAAGTGTATATATTTTTCATCGACGTTATTATCTCATTCGATTTAAATACACCTACACACCCGCTGTTGTGATTCTCGAGCTTTTCCTAAGCAATACCCTGAACGTTGTACGTACTACATCTAGAGCTATATTTTTAAGTACTAGTCTGTCTCCTTAATAACATCTCAATTTAAATTTTTCATACAGATTTGATCAATAAATTAAGTGAAAGAACATTTTCCTTTAGCTCGCACATGCATGTGAACGTATGCAACAAAGTCCGTCTCACTAACTCGTAACTAGTTTCTTGTTGTCGCTTCTCATTATTATTATTATCATTATTATTATCAAAAATGTATTATAAGTAAAGAGAATTTTAGTGAACCAATATATTTCTAATAAAGATCCAAAAGGGTGAAGAGCCAATTTGATTAACGAGCTGAGCATTGCCTCTACTAAAATTGTGAAATAGTACTATAGTAAAAATCGTGTATTTGCCATGTAATGTAAACAAGCGAGATATCAGTGCAGCGGCCTAAAGAAATTTATTGTCCATTGTCCGTGATCCTACCTTTACCGCTTTACGATTCATATCAATCTTGCCACCGTCTTAGATTCACAGCTCAATGCGATGTTCCGCATTATAAAATGTTGGCCAAACACCCCTAATATCATTCAGTCCTATAGATAGGAGCGCATTCGCACCGGATATGATGGGACCATTGCTTCGGCTCCTCACACAAATCTGCATTAGTCGATATCTGTGGTATCAATATCTTTTAGGTGAATCTTGGCGAAATTTGGACGTATGTAGAAGGCAATTACGAGACCTACGGGGCTCGTTCACGGTTCTCAAATAGATTGCGCGCAACAATGAAGGAGGAATTGATTAATTTTGTCTTACCGATGACCTAGACTCTATTTCACATAATTTGGTGATCTTTGCTGTGCCCATTGTGACACTAGTCTCTTGATGTGCCTTCTCGGTAAGCCACAGGGAAGATTCCGAACTTATCATAGTCGTTCGGGCTCCGTCTGTTGTCTCGACAGTCAGCACTTTCATTTCCTTCAATGCCTAAATGTCCTAATACCCAAAATAGGTGCACCTCAGTGTGCTTCCCTAGATCAGTCAAAATTTGAAGGCACTTCGACACAAGCTTAGAGATCATTATATGCCCTTTCAGGGCCTTTAGAGCGCCTTAACTGTCGTAGCGAATGTAGATGTTTATATTAGCTCTCCACCGCTGCATTATTTTTCTCAACATTCTCCGATGCTAATGCAGAGATTGCAAGTCGTCGTGTATTTAAGCTCAAAACTTGATAAATCTTTTTGTGCATTGTGTGCCTCTTGCCGAGGCGATAATATGCTAATGACTACTACAATTTCTTTTATACGGTTTCCTTCCATTTCAATTTTATGAGATTTGCTTTGACGATATCCGAAAGGTTTTAAATTTGCAACTTTTTCTTTTCGTCTATTTCTTTAATCTATTGCAGACAATGGTTGATAAAGAGAAGAAACGTTTTCATGAGATGGCTGAAAAGGATAAAGCACGTTATGAAATGGAAATGCAAAATTATGTTCCGCCCAAGGGTACTGTAGTTGGACGTGGCAAAAAGAGGAAGCAACCAAAAGATCCTAACGCGCCGAAACGTTCATTGTGAGTTCGTAGATAACAATTAGTTCTTTTGAAAATTGAATTTTATTCAAAAAAAAAAAGTAATAAAAAAAATAAAGCAATTTTAATATAATTGCCTGCGTGTGCTGTTGTTTTCATAATGTTTTAGGTCTGCTTTCTTCTGGTTTTGCAATGATGAACGTAATAAAGTTAAAGCTCTGAATCCTGAATATGGTGTAGGCGATATTGCTAAAGAGCTGGGCCGTAAATGGGCCGATGTCGAACCTGAAGTTAAACAAAAGTATGAACTTATGGCTGAAAAGGATAAGGCAAGATACGAAAGGGTAAGCAATTAATAAGCCCCTCTATAATGCATATATTTATATCCATCCATCCATCCATTCATCTTTTGCGTCCATAGGAAATGACTGAATATAAAACAAGCGGGAAAGTTGCCATGTCTGCACCCTCCATGCAAGCGTCCGCTCAGGCGGCGCAAAAGGCTGCGTTACTGGCTGCTGCTCAACAGCAGCAACAACAGCAACAGCAGCAACAACAGCAGGCCCAGCAACAGCAAGCTCAACATCATGATGAACATGACGATGATGAAGGCGATGGTGAGGATGATGAGAATCAGTAGACTTAAGTATAAGGTTGCTAAATATAACCATAAAATTAAATTTAAAAAGAAAAAAAAAAGAAAAAGAAGAAAAAAGAAATAAGAAAGCAAATCATCATTGTCACACCTCTTCCTTGAATGAAAAAAAAAAAGAAAAAAGAAAGAAGAATTCACTTAACTTTCGTTTTTATACATACCGCCCCGCCCCCGCCCCCTCTTCCCACCACCATCCATTTTTTTTTTTCCTATCGCACACCACATATATACACTTTCAGCATACAACCTCTTTCACTTTTCAAAGCGAACCATTCATTAAGTGATGCATATAACCAAGACTTGATTTAAGATTATGTTAAAATTCTTTCCTTTTTACTTTCATCTTAATTTTCCATAAGCAGTATACAACAGCTTTAGTTTTTGAGAGTAAATTTCTTTATAACAAAATATGAAAAAAAATTACTGTGTAATTTTTATAAAATTTATAAATTACAACTAGTAAGTTTAGTAAGAGTTTATTTTTTATTATTATTAAAATTATATATATATATATATATATATATACGTATGTACGTATATACGTATATATATATATATATATATTTATTTATATGTATACTTATATATATATATGTATATATACATTTATATGAATATGTTTATATATATATATATATATATATATATATTTATATTTTATATTGTATTTCTTTGAATTTTTTCTTAACAAGGATTATTAAAATGAATTTAATTTTTTTTAGCTCTTCCTTAAGTAAGCAAGGTTTATTTTGGAAAATTTCTTTTCAATTCCATACATTGAGTTTATTAATTATGCTTTTTTTCCATCCATACTCATAACGTAAGACCACTGGCCCTAATGAATTATTGTAAAGTGAAATTTTATTATATTGAAAGATCATGTCTGTTACAGATATATATATATATATATATATATATATATATATATATATATATATATGTATATATATATACACTTGACATACGCTCAGACACACTCACACACACACACACTCAAGTGACACAAACCTACACGCGTGACATATGACACTCGCACGATACAGAAACTCACGCGCAAGTGACACCCACACACACACCCACACACATTCACACAAAAAAAAAAAAAGGAAACCACTGAAACACTCAGAAATAAGTAGATCATCATGTATTTGAAATGTAAATGAAAATTATCAACCACGTGAATCATTTATTTAATAATTGAAAACTAAGTTTTTTTTTTTTTTTTTTTTTTTTTTTTTTTTCTAATTAAAACAACATAATGAAACAAGAGCGTTATTGTAAAATACTTTTAGAAAAGAACAGAAAACAAAACAAAAGAACTTAATATTATTAGCAATAAATTTCAACAAAATTTATGTACGTTTAAATTATGTTTGTTTAATATCTTCAGTTTGAAATCTGATATCTGTAAGTTATTTTCATTTCCATTTTCTTCCTTAATAGACATCAATCATACAGGAATCGGAATATATTATTTTCTCGAACACATAATGCAGACAATCATGATAAATATCATCTTTAAACGTTTAACTCTTTAAAACATGACGGAATTACAAATAAAATTCAAACTATTTTTCAATTTTTTTTTTTTTTTTTTTTTTTTGCCCTTCTACATTTTATTTTAGTAAAAAAATTAATTTATATAAAATTTTATTGTTTGTATGAGTCGTAAAATTTAGATAAAATAGCAAAGTCTTTGCCTGGAAAGAAGTGAAAAGTCCCCGCTAAGTGTAATCGTCACTAAATATTTCAATTGTCATCATCGTTTAGCTCGTACATACAATAAAAGTGTTATTACATGATACTTACTCATCAGATTAATAAATATTTTATGTTAAATAAATAAAATGATTACCTTTCTCGTCTTTCTTTCAAAAAAAGAAAAAAAATTAAAAAAAAAATTATATATATATATATATATATATATATATAATACATATATATATATATACATATATATAAACATATATATGCATATATATATATATAAAATAAAATAAAATAAAAAAAGGGAATGAAAAACCAATTCCATGCCTTAAAGAGTTAAACAGTATACGATTAAAAGAAAAAAAAAAATTAATTTTCAAAGTTCCGAATTTATTGTAATGTTTAACATTATAGTATATCGCTCTACATACTGTAAAGTTAAATAAAAACGTATCGATCACACACTTTTCTAAGAATTAAGTTTCAAATGAAAAAACAACAGCAAACGATTTTTAAAAATTTTTATTATTCTATCCAAACATCTCCTTAAGATACAAAAAATATCTCAGCTTTTCTCATAATCCAATTTTTTAGATAGAGCGATACGGCTCATGCGACACAACTAAGTTTAGCATTTTATTCCACTCTGAAATACTATTTAAAATTCCATAAACTTTACTTGTTATTGTCATTTACTGACATCCTTACGGAACCTTACCGTATATTGAAAATAAAAAACTAAACTGATAATGTTATGCCCAGTGTAGCAAAAAAAAAAAAAAAAAAAAAAATTCTTCCTCGACATAAGTTTCTTAGACGATCTCTATCCGCCACTCTTGGCGTTGTGAATGGTTTAAGCTTTTTATGATCATAAAAATTGCATTTGAAAACACTAAGACTTACTCTACACTTACTCTTACCTGTTATCATTCCCGTGAAATTTGAAAATAGATATTAAGAGCCATACTTTGTATACTTGCTCGATCATTCTTAAAGATTTTATGATCGCAAAAAATTGAGGTGAAAACGGCTGAAACTTGGTGTATATTATTTGACTTGTCTACTTGTGAACGCGTACGATAAAAAAAGAAGAAATAAATATTCACTAAAACAATGTGAAAACCTTTAACGGTAAAATTGCCGCAATTGATCATCTAATGCATAATACGACAAACTATCAACAAAATAGTTGACATCACGATTCTTAAAAATTCGTTTACATATTTCATATATTAACGAGCTGAGATATTTTTCTAATATTCAATAATTAAGAGGTTAGAAGGATAGAATCTTAATATATTACTTATATATACATATATATCATGACGATGATGAGTCTTAGCATTTTGTTATTTTATCCTTATCAAGAACGTTATAAAAATGATGATGCTTTGAATTGTTGAGACAGTTTGCCTGCTTACAATTCGTTCGCTCTGCTGCTTATGTGTAGTATAAGACGTCAAAGATCATTATTTTAAAGAAAGATAATTAAAATAAAAATTCCTTTAATTGCGAAATATTTATGAAGAAAATTTTCCATACTATTCTAAATGAGTAAATTTACTTTGAGCAAGATATATATATATATATATATATATATATTCTGATATCATTCTTGATTTTCAAAAAAAAAAAAAAAAAATTCATAATTTGACAAAAAAGAGGACATTAGATGAATTTCTTGATACACATAAACTGAATAATTATATTTAAACAAAAATTCTTATAGCAGAAGAAGAAGAAGAAAAAGCTTCATAACGTGAAAGACTCGACGGTAAGCTGATCAGAGGTTACTTACCGAAAATACAACAAACAAATAATTTTTCGAAATTTGTCCCTTTAATCGCTATTTTTAGGCTTTAACGCCCTATCTACATGCTTTATTATTTTTAATTCAACGATTATTATTATTTTTAATCTTTTATTTGATCAGTTAATCCGAGAGAAGAATGTCCCCTATACAGGCAGTCGTAACGGTAGTCGCAAGTATGATTATAGGTAATACGGAGAGGGAAGAGAAAGTAGTATCTGTGTACACGTTCGACTTGTGGGTGAAAACACCAAGGCGAAGATTGCAGGCAGGTAGGTTTCGCGAGTTATGAGCTTTTTTTTTATTATCAAATTCACTTCTTGAGAATGTATTAAAATTTTTTAGTAAAAGTTTGTTATTTTAACAGGGGCACTTATTCAATCATATGATTCCCATTTGATAAGGGTAGATAAGTAATTGAGTAATACAAAGAATCGATCCTTAAATAAATAATATGATCACATATATTTAGTTTGCTCAAGTAACGCTTATTGATGTTAATGTCCTTAATATTTTGGAAAGTAATTTTCTTTATAAATGAAAATTTAAAAAAAAAAAAATATTTTTACGTGTAAATAGTGGACAATTTTTGTATTACAACATTTGAATTAAAAATTTATATTTTTAATTTAAATTTTTTTTTTTTTTTTATAAAGAAAAAGTTACAATGTTAACATAATTTTTTTTTTTACCTTTAATAAAATAAGTTTGCGAAGAATTCAAAAAAAAATTTTTTTTTGTTTTTTCAAATTGAAATTAAGAAAACTTTTAAGTTTTTTCTCAACTAATTAGAAATCAATTAAGAATTTTCTTAATTCGTTTAACGTTCTTCATTAATTTTTTGGCATATATTTCTTTAAAATGATTTTTAGGCAGTTTTTTCTCTTTTAAAACAATACAAGACCGTTTCAGGCTCGAGAGTATTCCTATTACACTTTAGGAAAAAAAAAAAATATTTTTATATACTAACAGAATAAATAAAAATATACATACATATGCATATATACAATGTATATATATATATATATATATATATATGAATACAATATATATATATATATATATATGTGAATATATGCAAACATACATATGCCTATAAATAAATAATATATATATTCTAGCTTAGTAGCATATAAATCAAATATATACAATT